AAATTCAGTACCACCAGTACTTGAATCTAGGCTAATGGCTCTTCCCCCAATCAATGTTGTAAACACCCTTATGGAATATGCCTCTGCTTCTTTCCTTGATATTTATAGTAGATACATTATGAGACTCATATTTCTATAAGACCATACATGTAAGTACAAGCAAACTCTTTCGCGCCTTACATCTTAATCTAACAGTAGATCATAAGTCACTCCAGAGTGTGAGTCTAGAATGAGACATGATAGAACATAATATTGTTCTAAGCAATGGAAATAATCTCATTATCTTGGATTAAATATTTTTACTTTGAAATCATTGAAAAGCTCAAAACCAGATGGCGTTAGCTATAAGAGATTGACATAAAGAATATCAAAGTATTGTCTTAGTGTGATTAACAGAGCTCAAAGAGGAGTTGAGGATTTCTCATAGAAGTGTCTTTTAAAGCAACTTCCATAGTGGTCTTCAACCAAGAAGCAATAGAGTTTCTTAAGATATCACCTTAAAGAGCAAACTCCATATAATCAAATATTTTGAAACAAGATAGCTTTAACAACATCTCTTACTTTTCAATACTTGATTTTTATTTTAGAACACATACGCTTCTTTTCATTTGCATCATGCACTAATATAAGCTTCAAATGATTAAGAAATGAAGAGCATCTGATATTAGGTTTTGGTAGAAATTACTTCTTGCTTTCAGATTTGGGAAATCAGTTGAAATACAGATATTTCAAAAGTTCTTGAAGTTACTCTTCTATCAACAAATATCAGAATCCATTCAGCCAGTATGAAAGTCCTTCTGACAAGAAACCTAGGTTTCTCATCATTAGTCACTCCAAAGAACTTAAGCTAAAAAGAGAAGGTGGCCTATTGAATAGTTTTTCATCATCCAACTTCATTTCTTTTCTTTAAAGACTGTTAGACAAACCTTCAGAACACAGCAGATTCAGGATGTAAACACCAAAAAAACAGTGAGTTTAGATTTAAGTCAAGAAATAGTCCTCTCAGAATTTTCTTGAAAAGTTTAGATGAAGTGTAACTACTTCAAGCTTTAAAAAACCTGATCCCCACAAACTCGAGCACACGACTTCAAAGATAATCCAAACATCAAACATATTAATGATGTTGATATACTCAGAAGAGAGATAATGCATCTACCAGAATGCAACTACCTGTGAAGATATTCAATATGCATCTTCTGAGTTGGAGAAAGAGATTTTCAAAAATATCATCTATAACACCATCAACTTCTATAGTAGGACCTTTTTCAAGGATATTCTATAGACCTTCAACAACCCTTTATCAAGTACAATGAGTTAAAAATATGTTTAGATTTTCCATAGTTTAAATTCAATGGAATCACCCATTTGAATATGGTAGGAAAAGCCATATGATATTTTCATATGGCACGTGATTCCTTCTTGAAGAAGAAATATACTTTTCTTATTGGATAAATATTCACACCACTGTTAAGTGTTAAGCAAAAACCATGCTCTGATACCAATTGAATGTATGGAAATTACATAAGAAGGGCGGGTTGAATTGTGTTTTGCGTTTTCTTATCATTTAGCTTCTGATCAGAGTCTCAGAATCAGAACTGATGTTTAGATTTTGAGTTAATTCAATTGGCAGTGGATACGACAGACGTAAATAAAATAAGGAAAAAAACACAAAATATTTATACTGGTTCCTCCCCTAACTGAGAGTAGTCTAGTCCCATTACCTCACAAGAGCTTTTCATTATAACCATTTCATGATTACGATCGCATATGCTTCTGCATAAGACATTTACAACTGCTCAGACCAATTGTTTGAGACTTTCCTTGCTTAGAGCGCATGCCTAAGACTTACCCTTTGCTTATACCATCAGACTGAGTCGCCTTCTCATCTGTCTTCTGGTTGAGACTTTCCTTTGCTTATAGTACATGTCTAAGACTTCCTTTGCTCACACCATCAGACTGAACCGCCCCATCATCTATCTTCTGGTTGAGACTTGCCTTTGCTTAGAGCACATGTCTAAGACTTTATTTTTGCTCAACCAGACTAACTGATTAAGACTTTTACAGCTCAAGCACTTGAGCAATGAGACTTACATGGCTTAAGCATCTTGGTTCAAGACTTGTTGCTTGAATCCCAATGAGACAAGAGCTTTTGCTCAAGCACATAACATGAGACTTAATCTAAACTACCGAAGGCTTAGCATAATAGAGACCAAGGTGTACATGATGCACACATCAGAGGACGGGAGATCACCATAATAATAACCTAAAACACTTAAGATTTCTCAATATATGCAGGTGTAAGAAATCTTAAGGCTTTTACAATTACAACCTAAAACAAAAAATCTACATATTGCATAGAGTTGATAATTGCTTGATCTTGCTACTTCTTCAACAGAGGAGTCCTTGTTAAAAATTCAGGCTTGAATCTTCAGCCATATATACATCCTTTCTAGAAACTAGCCGTTGAAAAGGTGACTTGATCAAGTGTCTTTGCTTTTACTCAATAGTACAAGAGACGTTGAAGATGGATGCACAATAGATTTTTGGATCTAGTGTGTAACATGTTTAACATTTGAGTCATCAAGAGGTTCTGTACTAATAAATTCGTTGGGAGCAGACATCCATAGAACTTACCAGCTTTCCTTGAGCCTTGCAATCTTGTAGACTCGAGTTGACAGGCTGATAAGGCAATACAACATGCTTTCAGTAGTACGAATAATCCACAACTTTATCACCAACTCTGAATGGTACCAAAAAGCGTATATACAATTACTAAGTGTAGAAAACCGTCTTAATATTGAGACCTTTAGTTCAGAGTCTTCGTCAAACCACACTAGAAATTATTCTTCAGACTGATGTTTAGATTCTGAGTTAATTCAATTGGCAGTGGATACGGCAGACGTAAATAAAATAACAATAAAAGACACAAAATATTTATACTAGTTCCTCCCCTAACTGAGAGTAGTCTAGTCCCATTATCTCACAAGAGCTTTTCATTATAACCACTTCATGATTACAATTGCATATGCTTCTGCATAAGACATTTACAACTACTCAGACCAATTGTTTGAGACTTTCCTTGCTTAGAACGCATGCCTAAGACTTACCCTTTGCTCATACCATCAGACTGAGTCGCCTTCTCATCTGTCTTCTGGTTGAGACTTTCCTTTGCTTATAGCACATGTCTAAGACTTCCTTTGCTCACACCATCAGACTGAACTGCAACCTCATTTGTCTTCTGGTTGAGACTTACCTTTGCTTAGAGCACATGTCTAAGACTTTATTTTTGCTCAACTAGACTAACTGATTAAGACTTTTACAGCTCAAGCACTTGAGCAATGAGACTTACATGGCTTAAGCATCTTGGCTCAAGACTTTTTGCTTGAATCCCAATGAGACAAGACCTTTTGCTCAAGCACATAACATGAGACTTAATTTAAACTACCGAAGGCTTAGCATAATAGAGACCAAGGTGTACATGATGCACACATCAGAGGCACGGGAGATCACCATAATAATAACCTAAAGCACTTAAGATTTCTCAATATATGAAGGGGTAAGAAATCTTAAGGCTTTTACAATTACAACCTGAAACAAAAAATCTACATATTGCATAGAGTTGATAATTGCTTGATCTTGCTACTTCTTCAACAGAGGAATCCTTGTTAAAAATTCAGGCTTGAATCTTCAGCCATATATACAGCCTTTCTAGAAACTAGCCGTTGAAAAGGTGACTTGATCAAGTGTCTTTACTTTTACTCGATAGTACAAGAGACGTTGAAGATGGATGCACAATAGATTTCTGGATCTAATGTGTAACACGTTTAACATTTGAGTCATCAAGAGGTTCTGTACTGATAAAGTCGTTGGGAGCAGACATCCATAGAACTTACCAGCTTTCCTTGAGCCTTGCAATCTTGTAGACTCGAGTTGACAGGCTGATAAGGGAATACAACATGCTTTAAGTAGTACGAATAATCCACAACTTTATCACCAACTCTGAATGGTACCAAAAGCTTATATACAATTACTAAGTGTAGAAACCCGTCTTAATGTTGAGACCTTTAGTTTAGAGTCTTCGTCAAACCACACTAGAAATTATTCTTCAGACTCTGCCACCAGAAGCTAGCAATAAAGCAACTCCAAGTGTATCTTAATTAAAATAGATTTTGATTATTTATGTACAACAACCTGCATAAGTAAAACACGCATCAAATAAACCATTGTTATTTTAATACTTTTGTTATCATCAAAATTAAAAGAGAATACGTCAAGAACAAATCTTGTTCTAACAAATACTTTCTTTGAATCCTTCATTTCCATTTGGATACCTTGCTCTCCTTTGAAAACATAGGCAAAATACCTTTTTTTGTCCCTTAACTTTACTTCGGGATCCATTTTTGCCCCTTAATTTTAAAAAGTGTCAATGTAGTCTCTTATGTCTTCAAACGACGTGATTTAGGTACTTTCTGTTTAATTCTCACAAACGACATCAATTTCTGCACGTGTGGCATCTGACGTGGTATATGTTCATACGCGTGGCATCTGACGTGTCATAAGTTAATTATCAAGGTCACAAAAATTCCAAAATAAATCATAAAATTTTGTCTTCACCAAGAATTGAACCCACATTTATTTGGTTACTTGGAAAGATACTACACCACTAGGCCATATTGCATTTGTTAATTTGTTATACAAATTATATATATATATATATATTACAAATTGTTAATGTTTAATAATTAAACATTACAAATTACGAAAACAAACAATGTAAATTGACTCTAATATCATAATTTGCTCCCCATTCCAATGCCAAGTTTCCTGTTGTGGCATCCACAGCTGTCTGATGAATAAATAAAATTTAAACTTTAAAGAGTTTAATGGACTCGATGTTAATTAAACAACTAGTTATTGTGTTTAAACAAACAAAACCTTAGTTGTAGATACATGAATTTGATACCAAGAAGTTGTATAATGCAAGGTAGCACTAATGTTAATTATTGCTCCTCCGCCACTAAAAGAGTCCCTTCTTGGCCCCTCTTTCTTGAGATATTTAAGTGCTTCATGGAACATAGTGAATGTGCCAACAGAAGAAATATCCAAAACTGCAAATAACAACTCAGTTTAACAATAATAAGGTTGTGTCTTGTGCAGAAAACTTTTCCCAATTTATCTCATTTAAGGTCAAAATAATACACATTTTTCAATTACAAAGAAAAAATCAAAAGTGGGAAGAGAACTTTTACCGGTTCAAAATCCATTTGGGGAGAAATCCTCAACCATAGCAAGAAAATTACTAGCAACAATATTAACAAGAATATCGATCTTACCGAAACGCTTGAAAGTGGAATCGAGAACTCTGGCGGCATCTTCTTGCTTCCTGACATCACCTTCAGAACCAACGATTGGGATTGAAAGTAATTGAAAAACAGAAATAACGGATTGAAGAACTTGTTTGGGACGATTCATGAGAGCAACGGAAGCACCATGTTTCCCTAATTGTGTTGATATTTCAAATCTGATTCTAAATGCTCCACCAGTTATCACCGCTACTTTTCCTTTGAAGAACAAGAATGAAGAACGAAGAAAAAGATGACAATGAATAGTTTTTTTATTTTTCTGAAATTTCCTTTTTTTATTTTATTTTATATAAATGTTATTAATTATGTGGAATCCACCTTGACAAAATAAAATTACATGTGTCATTTTAGATTTCACATCAGAGCCACATAGATTATTTCATTGACTTTGACTAACAGAATAAATGGCAAAGACTAACACGACACTATTTGAATAATTAAAGGACCAACTTAAAACTTTTTAAAATTAAGGGACCAAAATGGACCCCGAGGTAAAGTTAAAGGATCAAAAATGGTATTTTGCCGAAAAGATATCCTTTCTTGTTGAATTCACCAAGATAAATCATATCCTCTCAAGATAAGGTACATACCTCACACGAGCCAATAAATTTATTGGGTCATCATGGAGCTAGAATCTCACAGATCTAATTCCTGTAATTTTTCAAGCTTTGTTGTTTCCCAATAACACTGATCCACCATCTTGACCACATAATTCCTCAAACACATCTTTGTTTGGAGTCATGTTCCAAGTGCAAACTAAATCTATTATTTGTTCCTTGCTAGAATTGTTGCTCAAAACTACTAGGATATCAAATGATTTATAATCATCTTGCACAGTGGTTGAATTACCATTATCCTTACTACCATGATTATTCAGTCGATTATAGCAAAATTTTCTTGTGTAATCATCCTTCTTACAGTTATCAAACCTAATTGTGGGAGCATCACCGCCATAAGACTTATGCTGACCTTTACACTTCTTTTTCTCAAACCTACCATCTTTCTTTGTGAATTTTCCTTTTATGGACAATTTTTCACCAATAGAAGATAGTTTATGCTCCTTTATTTCATTTAGGTCCTTCGACTATAAGGTTGATTGAACTTCTTCAAAGTTCAGGGACTCTCTTCCATACAAGAAATTTTCTTTGAAGTGAGCATTAGATCTTGGTAAAGCACACAACAACAACAACAATGATTGATCTTCATAATTGATCTTGCCATTAATATTCTCTAGATCAAGAATCAACTTATTGAATATATCTAGTGGTTCAGTCAAGAATTTGTCTTCACTCATCTTGAATGAATACAAAGCTTGCTTTAGGGTGTGTTTTTCGGGGTAGATGGAGGGGAGGGGAGGGAAAATTTTTAATTAAATATGTTTGGTTCAAATCTTAGGAAGGGAGGGGAGGGGGAGCAAAATCCCTCAAAAACACACTTTTTGGTTCCCTCCGAATTTGGGGGATTCGGAGGGGAGGGGAGGGGAGGGAATATGAGTTTTGATATTTAAAAATTATTATATTTACTAAAATATCCTCAGTTTAATTTCAGTATTTCAAAATTATTCGTTTTTTTTGTGTTACTGCTTTTTCTCGATTGTTTCCATCAACTTATTATAATTGTTCTCCACCTTCAAATTATTTTATAATTTCTATACTTAAGATAAATCATAATCATCGTCTTTTTTTTATAAAAAAAATATGTTTAGTTATATTCGTTTTTTTCTTTTAATTTTGTTATGTATTCTATCATATTTTCTTTTATATCAAATTGTAAACCATTCATTTTATTTATTTTTGTTTATTCATTTTATTAAATATTTTGAACCATTAATATTTAATTATAAGTTATTTTATATATTTATTTTGTTATATGATTCATCATAATTTAAACGATGTTATTGGCATATAGTTTAATTTAGGTTGGAAAGTTATAAGTCGAATCAATTGTACTCAATTTTTTAACTTTATGTGACAAATAAATACTTTTTTAATCACTAAATATTAGAAATTTTATTACCAACAAAAATACGCATGAATTTTTCAAATTTTAATATCATATGACTTATATAAGATCATAAGGATAAAAATATAAATTATTAATAAAACCCCTCCCCTCCCCTTCTGAACCAAACACATTTTTAATTAAAATCCCTCCCTTCCCCTCCCCTCCCCTCTTTTGAACCAAACACTTATCTGATTAAAAAAATCCTTCACCTCCCCTCCCTTCCCCTTACCATCATTAAAATCCCTCCCCTCCCCTCCCCCTAATTTGAACCAAACAGACCCTTAGGTAGAGACAATTAACCAAAATTGTGGTCATGTACATACCTTTAAGTTTGTTCCACACGTCGACAACCATTTTCTCCTTTGAGACTTACCGAAGAACCCTATCACCAAGGCTCAATAATAAGGCACTGTGATATTTTTCGATCATCATCGTCTTCTCCTTTGTCGTTAGGGCAACATCCATGTTTTTTTTTATCCTTTCAAGGCTTATCACAAAACGTGTTGTAAAAGAAGAGCTTGCACCTTCAAGCGACATATATTTAAAACCATTAACTATGGTGAATTTCTCAATCTCAAACTTTGTTGAATGCATCTTTTACTCCACTCTCACCGCACCAATTTGTTGTGAAAGTGATGCCTAGAAAGTAGAGTATGATCAGTTTCTTTATCAACAAGAAAACCACAAGATGAGAAAAAATAGAGAAAAGAAAAAGAATTCGTCAAGAATTTTGTTGATTTGTGACACTTAGATTGCGACTGTTACATAGAAACTTCAATTATTTAACATCTGTGATAGTTGCCACGACGGTTATGAACAACCACCTCAAATAAATTTTACAAAAGTAGAGAATCCTATTAAAAAACTAGGTCCACGACAGTTATGTAACTACCCTAACACCTTTTCACTAACATTTGAAATCGTGTAATTCGTCTGTGAGATGTTGGATCAAACTCTAATATGATCGAAGTCTGTTTACAAGTAATGCGTGTTGTAGTCGAAGTCTGTTCTAACATGCATTAGTCAATATTGCTAGGGTTGTTAGCATGTTGAATTGGACCTTGCTTGTAAGCCAAATTGTTTAAGTTAGCTTGTACCCTAAGTTGGCTTGTAATGGGTAATTGTTAAAAAGCCCATTAGGTTAGTGTGTTATTTTATTATAAATAGGATGCTAGTTTCTCAATCTTGGCATAAGGAAAAATAGGAAGATAAAATCCTAATTTCAAGGGAGAGAGGTTATTTTGTTATTCTTGTATACTTGTAATCTTGTTCTAAGAGAAAGGAAAGAATAGCAGTTTAATAACCAATCCTTGTTGTTCCTTGTTGCTTTCTTCTTTATTAACCCTAACCCTTGTGTGTTTCTTGATAAGAAACCGTTTATACTTTGTTTAAAGGTATCCGATTCACAACAAATCGTTGCGGTGAGCGTGGAAAAGATGCCTTCAACAAAGTATGAGATTGAAAAGTTAACCGGAGTGAACGACTTCGGTCTGTGGCGCTTGAAGATGAAAGCCCTGTTGGTTCAGCAGGGTTGTTTGGAAGCGTTGAAGGGTGAGGCAGCCATGGACGCTGCGTTAACGGAAAAAGAAAAGACGTTGCCCAATTGCAAGTTTTTCCACCATATGCAGTTAATAAAGCTGCATGAAGAAAGCTAGTTTCTTGATGTTATAGAGTTAGATCCAAGGTGGAGATTTGTGAGATGTTGGATCAAACTCTAATATGGTCGAAGTCTGTTCGCAAGTAATGCATATTGTAGTCGAAGTCTGTTCTAACATGCATTAGTCAATATTTCTAGGGTTGTTAGCATGTTGAATTGGGCCTTGCTTGTAAGCCAAATTGTTTAAGTTAGCTTGTACCCTAAGTTGGCTTGTAATGGGTAATTGTTAAAAAGTCCATTAGGTTAGTGTGTTATTTTATTATAAATAGGATGCTAGTTTCTCAATCTTGGCATAAGGAAAAATAGGAAGATAAAATCCTAATTTCAAGGGAGAGAGGTTATTTTGTTATTCTTGTATACTTGTAATCTTGTTCTAAGAGAAAGGAAAGAATAGCAGTTTAATAACCAATCCTTGTTGTTCCTTGTTGCTTTCTTCTTTATTAACCCTAACCCTTGTGTGTTTCTTGATAAGAAACTGTTTATACTTTGTTTAAAGGTATCCGATTCACAACATCGTCTATAACCTCCCTCACACCCATCCTTTCAGGCGCTTTTCCATAAAAAAATTATTTTCCATAAAATATTCATTTCCCTCAGTTCTAGACACCCATTCCTTTTCCCTTAAATATGAACATTATTCCATTTCCTCTGAAATTGAAAAACCAGATGTGTGTAAGAATTTTCAAGGTGTTGCAAGAGGAGATTTACGCTACTGAATCAAAAATTGACGCGCTTTCAACTTCGGATGAAACTCTTTCATCCATAGAACCAATCGATACTTTTGATTCATTGACTGATTTAATTCAAGTGTCAAAGGATTTTCTTCCCTAAAATTGGAAAACCCTTGACATGATAGTTCTTGTCATCTCAAATCTCAGAATTGAAAAACCTAGGTCTTCTATCACATCTCACCCTTGTTTTGATTTTGATTTTGATTTTCTGCTCACTACATTTTCAATTTCAATTTCGATTTGTTGTTCACTACAATTCTAGGTTTCATTTTCGATTTCAATTTGGATTTTGGTTTCGATTTGGTGCACACTACATTTCCAAGTTTTGATTTTGATTTCAATGTTAGTTTCGATTTTGATTTACAACTCACTATATTTTCAGGTTTCAATTTTAATTTGAAGGTATTTTCAATTTCCAGCGTTTGATTTTAATTTGAAGGTATTTCAATTTCCAGGGTTTGATTTCAATTTAAAGGTATTTCAATTCCTATGATTAAATTTCAATTTGACGGTATTTCAATTTCCAAGCTTTGATTTCAATTTGAGTTATATTGATATCCCTAGTTAAATCTGTTGTAACCTGCCAAAATAAACCGTCGTAACTTGCCAATTTTTTTGTAGTAGAAATACAATTC